TCCTCACATCTAGGCATCTATAATTTGTTTTCATATTTTTTAAAGCTTATCCATTGAGAGAGAGAGAGAGAGAGAGAGAGAGGGAGAGAGAGAGAGAGAGACAGCACAGAGCCCAACGCGGGGCTCGAACTCCCAAACCATGAGATCATGACCTGAGCCGAAATCAAGAGTCGGACGCTTAATGGACCGAGCCACCCAGGCGCCCCTTGTTTTCATATTTTTAAAAATGTTATGTAAGTAATTTTTCCCTTTTGCAACTGACTCATCGCCCCCAATGTTGCGTTTTCACGATTTGCCAGTGGTTGCATTTAACTGCAGGTCCTGTGTTTTAACTGCACAGTCCACTTGTGAATCTCCCACAGTTTACCTGTCTGCTGTCCCCTGGATGAAGGTTCCAGCATTCTGCAATTGCCAACAGTAATCTGTGCGGGGAGGGGAACCAGAACTGGCAGGCTTCCTGGAGTTGACCAGGCGTCCCGGTATCTGCTCCCTAGCACAGCGCCCGGTCGTCTCCGCGCCTGCACCTGAGCACAAGTGTGCACCACTGTGCTAGAGCTTTCCATCTGCAGACTCGATTTTGCTACATCTGGTCCCTACCTCTCTCCCTTCCCGAGCCTTGAAGGACACTCCCAGACAAGTCTCGGAGCAAGGACCTCCTCCTCCATGACCACATCTCCACTACTGCCCCGTTGATACGAGTGTCACAAACGTTCTCTGTCACTTTGGGTTTGGATGTGGCATGTAGTCAAGGCCGCTGCGTCTCCTAACGCGCCCCGAAGCTCCTTCTGTATATTGAACACTGGCCTTCATCGGGGATGTGCTCCCAAGACGTGGCTGGCGGCTCCCCTGGGCTGATGGCGTCATTTGGTGCAAATGTGAGAAAAGAGACGGCAGGACCCACGCGGAGTCCCTTGTCCGGAGCTCGCGTCACCAAAATGAGCTTTCATGGTGACCTTCCGCCTGTCCCTGGAGCTCGGGAGGGCGGGGCGAAGGGAGCAGGACAGAGGCCCGCGTCCTCCCGGGAAGCCAGGCCCCTCTGCCTGCCGGACCCCACCCTGGCTCCGTGGCCCTGCCTGAGTCCAGAGCCCCAGAACCCACCAAGGTCTTGAGAGCTGGCTCACCTGCGCTCTGCTTCCTAACCTGGAGAGGTTCACCTTCTTAAGACTTTCTTTATGCCTCTGGACTTCACTGAACTCCCGTGTCACGGTGCGAAGGTTTTACGCCTGGTTCAAGAAATTCCCTTAGTGGGAGCTATGCTCTCCTATAGCTGCTTCCTGAAACTTGGAATGTTTTCCTTCTCAGATTTAGGTCTTCACTTGGCAGGGGGGCTGATTTTCGGTGGTCGGTGTAAAGAGGCTGGCGCACTGTTTTACTATTCGCGGTGTTGGTCCGTCCAGGGCCCCCCACGCCCCCGACACCAGGTGCGCCCATGGCCCCACACATGTGCCTGTCCTCCGTGTCTGTGCCTGTGTCTGTGCTTGTGACCGTGACCGCGTCCTTCTCTGTGTCTGTTCCCAAGTTCACATCCCTGTCCGTGTCTGTGTCCGTCTGGGAGCCGGCGCTGCCCCTCATGTGGTCTGGTCTGTCCACAGTCCCCTTTCCTTCTGCACACATTTAGACTCAGCATGAATTTACATGAATCCCTGTGGGCACATGGTTGAGTTGCCCTGAATTCGTGGATTAATTTAGAGAGAGCAAATAGTTTTGATACATTACTCCTCGTCTTAGGGAACATATAATAGCCTGTAGGTATTCATGCTGTTTAGATACTTTTCAATAATGCGATTTTATCATCTGTCTGCTTGCCTTGCACATGTTTTCCTAGATTTGTACTTATTATTGTATGTTTTTACATTTCTGTTGTAAATGGTATTTTTAAACACTGTCGCCTAACTCTCGATCTTTCTATCTTATGCTCGCGCACACCTATACAGAACTCTTCGTTCTGATTTAGAGTTGCAGATTTTATTTTCTTGGGGTTTTTTTTTTTGGTAGACAACTATTTGGTTGTGAATGGTGGGAACTTTTTTTAAGATTTTCTTTTTAAGGACTCTCTATACCCAACGTGGGGCTCGAACTCACAACCCGATCAAGAGTCACACATTCCATTGACCGAGCCAGTCGGGCGCCCCAAATAGTGGCAATTTTTTAAGGCACAAGTAGGTAGGACAAGATACAATTTTTCTTGGCCTCTTGACCCCCTTTTCTGGCAGTTTATTTTTCTCGCCCCGAAGCTCTGGCTGAGACACCCGGACTGTGAGGAGGCAGGTGGCATTCCCGCTTGAGTCTTGAAACATTTCCTCGTTGAGGGCGATGTTTGCTGTAGGCGTTTGGAAGATGCTTTCCTCACTCCAAGGAAACCGTCTTCGACTCTTAATTGGCTGAGAATCGCCTTCACTGACTGTGTTCTGTTTCCCCCAAGTCTCCCCCAAGCCTCTGCTTGGTGACTGTCTCAAGAGTCCCCCGGACAGCTTGCTTGCCAATATAAAACTACCTTCGCATCAGAGGGGACCCCCTCGGTCGTGACGTCATTTAAAAAAGTTGTTAGTATTTTTGGTGATTCAAGTAGGACCACTTCATCAGTTCTTCTGCAAAACCAATCTTTGACTCTCCTGATTTCTTTCTTTCTTTCTTTCTTTTTTTCAAAACTTTTTAAATGTTTATTTATTTTTGAGAGAGAGACAGAGCGTGACCGGGGGAGGGGAAGAGAGAGAGGGAGACCCAGAATCCGAAGCAGGTCCAGGCCCCGAGCTGCCAGCACAGAGCCCGACGCAGGGCTCGAACCCACAGACTGTGAGATCGTGACCTGAGCCGAAGTCAGGTGCTCAACCGACTGAGCCACCGAGGCGCCCCATCTTCTGATTTCTTGAATTAGATGTTTAACACGAGCGTTTGGGGGGGGGGTCTGTCCCCTGCTTTTCCAGCGTGGCCCGCTGCTCAGCAGAGCCCGGCCTCCAGGCTCGGCCGGCCCCAGATGTGTTGACATTTCTAAACACACGCTAATAAGTTCCCTGCCTGGGTCCACTTGGCCGCAGGGGGCTGACTGCTGGATCCAAGCGCTGGTCCCAGGCAGCTTCTAAATTGCTTCACGTGTACTCTGGTTTAGAGAAACAACCTTCTTCTTTTTCTTTTCTTTTTTTTTTTTTTTTTT